TCGTCACCCCCCCCCCCTGAACATGAACTCTGCTGGGGGCGGCCCGTTCTCTTGCAGGCCCTGCACGTCCGAGGAGACGCGCAGGTCTGCGGTCCACCTGGCCTTGCCGTCGTCGTGCCCCTCGATCAGCGGAACGATGGGCCCCTTGACGGCCAGGGTCTTCGTGGACGCCGTCCCCGACTCGTTGTGGTGGAACAGGCTCTGGTCCCTGTTGAGGATGCGCGGGTCGTGCCCGAGCAGTTCCTCTGCCGCGGCCCTCGCCCTCGCGACGTTCAGCATCATGGTCTCGAAGCGCGAGGCGAGCAGCCGCTTCGAGACCTTGTGCTGGCGATTGGGCTTGCGCAAGCTCAGCCCGTAGTCTTCCCGCCACCAATTGAACCACCTGCGCCGCAACTGCGGCACCGCGGGCCTGCTCCCCCGCACCAGTGCCTCCGAGCAGTGCGTCATGAGCAGGCCCTTGGCTTTGGTGGCCAGCAGGGCCTGCGGGGGGGGGAAAGGGAATAACTGGACTTGGAGGACAAAGAGGAATCAGAGGAGGAGAAGGAGGACGGGGAGGTGGACATGGAGACGAGGGAGCCTGCGTGTACCTGGCGATATTCCTCTGTCGTTGCTCCTGTGGAACTCCAGAAGTGGCGCGTTTCCAGTCCACGGCGTAGCGCATGTGGGACCACCACTCGTAGAGGGCGCTCGACAACCAGGGGCACTTCTGGGGCGCCCCTCCGCCGCCACTGCGGCGTCTCCTGGAGCCTTTACCCTTGACATCTTCATCTCCACCTTCGGATCGCTTCTTCCAGTTTGTATACCAGTGAGACAAGGTGCACGACTGTTTGGTATACTTCCACCCCTTAGGCCATTCAAATTTGGCCAAGAACGACTTCCTGGAGCGATATGAAGATTTGCCCTTGCCGTCCCACCCGCTCTCCTGCAGGTGCTGCGTGTACGCCCTGCGCACTATGTCGCGGTCCCGGATCATGTGCGGGTCGATGCGCCGCCTCACTCGTGCGCCGTGCTCGGGCTTCTTGGGGGGCAGTTGGCTCTCCCTGTGCGTGGCCACCTGTTCTTCCTGCGCGGGGATGGGCAGTCTGTCGGCGATGGACATCGCCGCGCCGACGTCGCTGACCCCGCAGGACCACTGCAGCGCCTCCAAAATGCCAGGGACCTTCTCGTGTGCAGGCGGGTGGGTGACCGCCACTGCGGTCTGAGAAACGCCCCCCTCTCCTGCCCCGCCTGCCCCTCCTGCCCGTGACCCTCCGCCACCAGGATCTGCGAAGCAAAGGACGTCGTGGTCGCCTTCGGAATCCCGAAACTTCTGCACCTGCTCCGCTGCGAGCTCCTGGGTGAGCACCAACATGTCGCGCAGCCAGGGCTCCTTGTACCGACTCATGACGTGCTCGTAGATCTCCCTGCGGATGCGGGCACGGGTTTCCGCGTTCTGGGGCAGCTCCAGCATCTGCGTCATGACGTCAATGCCGCAGTCGCCGTCGCAGACAGTTCCGAGTACGAAGCGCGCCCGATTTGGGTAGAACTTGTTCATCTCGTCGGCCGCCTCTGCGCCCTCGTGACCCCCGCCACTGATCACGGCCGCCGCCCAGTGATTGACGTTCTGGAGGCAATTGACTGGCTGGCCCATGGCATCCTTCAGATCGCCCACGGGCAGAAAGTCCGCAACTGCGGACCACGTCGCGCCTGGTCGGAGGACGCGCGCCGGAGCGCAACAGGTCTCCAGCGCCCAGGCGGCGTAGACGGCAAGGAGGTCTATGAGGCCCCCCCCCCCCCCTTCCCACATCAGTGGGCGAACGTTGTAGCGCAGGCCAAAGAGCACGAAGGCGGAGCGCCCGACGCACTTGCCGCTCGCGAGGACCTCCCGAGTCAGACCCGGCACTTTGAGCGGCACAGCGGCTGCCAATGCGGCACTGAGCGGTGCCCTGTCGAGGCCGCCACTGCGGCCCTGAGCGGTGCCCTGTCGGCGCCCTGTCGGCGCTCGGTTGGGGCCCGATCCCGCCACCTCCGCGCCCGCGCCCACCACCTCCGCGGCGGCGGGCTCGCTCGACCCACGGCCGAGGCCAGCTGAGGGGGGACTGTTGCACTGAAAGCCGCATTCGAAGAGCCCACCCTGTCCCTTGGCCAAGAGAGGGGCCGCAGCTCGACGTCGCGGAGGGGCGGGCGCGGGCTCCGCGGGCGGCGGGTGCAGGGAGCTCGCCTCTGCAGCCAACTGTGCAGCAGGAGCCCCTGTGGCTGGCGGCGTGGGCGGGGGGCTGCGGATTCCCTCGGACTCCGCTTCCTCTGCCTCTTTGGCTTCCTGAGGCTCTGGTTATGCCTCCTCTGCCTCCTCTGCCTCCTCTACCTCCTCTGCCTCCTCTGCCTCCTCTGTCTCCTCTGCCCCCTCTACCACCCCTGGCTCTGCCTCCTCAGGCTTTGGCTCATCAGGGTTTGGCTCTGGCGTTGGCGGCCCTGGCGCTGGCTCATCTGGCGTCGGCGGCGCTGGCGCTGGCGCTACCTCGTCTGCGTGCGGCGGGGGTGCCCCCCCTGGCTGTAGCTCTGGCGGTGGTGCTTCATTTGGGGGTGGCAGAGGCGGAGCCGCCGTCCCTGGCTGCGGCGCTGCTGGCTCCGCTGGCCCAAGCGCAGCGGCAGCTGGCGCTGGCTGCGCCTCTTGCTCAGGGGCAGCTGCCCCTGGTGGGCGCCAGTCTGTCGGTCGGGGATGCATGGCGGGGGGGGGGGGGGGGATGCCAGACTGGGTCGCTGGCCAGTCTGCCTGGCACGGTTCGTTCAAGCAGCAGCGTACCTTCAACAAGCCCACAAGCACCTCGGCGCCGCCACTGCGGCGACAGATGTTTACCACCCCTGTCTTGCCGTACTGCGTCATACGCGGAAAAGATTGCGCCCCGGGGTTCTTCACCCACTCGCACTCGAACTTCTCTCCCGGGAACACGTCCACGCCATGACATCGTACACCTAGGCTGCGGCGCGTGCACCCGCATGTGCCATCTGGCGGGCGCTTGGCAGGCATCGTTCGCGCAGGCCCCCTGCGCGCGCGCGCCGCCGCCCCTTGGAACAGCCCTCTGATGCGCAAAGGGCGTCGCGGACGAACAAGCAGGAAGGGGCGCACTGCGGAGGGCAAGGGGGTGGGGGGCGGGGGTGGTAAGACCACTGGCTGCAGAGGAGCAGGCGGAGAAGGAAGCGAACAGCAAGGGGGGGGGCGGGCGCAGGGGCTGTGTTTTCCTCACGGACCGTCAAAGCATCACTTTGTGAATGAGTCTCGTTGGCATTGGCGCCTGCGCCGCCGCGACTCGCCCACGAAAGCCCCCGGGCGAGCGCCCCCCCCCCCCCCCCCCCGGCAGGACAATGGCGAGGTACCCAACGGAGCCGCCACTGCGGCTTTAGGCCGCAAGAAATTGTTGCATCAACGCGGCCATGTTCGCTTCCAGGTAGAGCCTGCAGGCCTCCTTCTTCTGCAGATGACTGGCCCCGTGCCGCGCGCAGGGAGGCTCGTCGCCACTGTAGACTTGTAACCACCTCGCGCGGGTGAAGGTGGCCAGCTGGCGCACGACACCCTTCCCGTGCAAGTCCCCTGCGCGCGTGACCGTTCCCCCCCGCGCGCCCTTGCATATTCCTCGGTGGGGAACCGCCATCGGCGCGCGTAGCCAGCGTGCACGGTGTCCTGGGCGCTGACCGCCTGGTCCACAGGAGCTGGTGGACTGGCGGCTCTTGTCGGTGTCTGTGAGCCCGCGTTCTCTCCAGAGGGCAAGCTATCTTGCGAGTCCGCCCCGCTAGCGGCAGCCGCCACTGCGGCGCAGTCGTCGTCTGGGTTCTGAATCAGCGGGGCCCCCGCCAGATCACTCTCGGACCTGAGCCGCGCGAAGAGCCAGGGCACGTCCGTCTCGCGGATCCAGCACTCGTTCTTCTTGAACGAGATCAGGCACACCTCCCTCTCGTCCGTCACATCGGGGAACTCGAGCGGGCACTTCTCACGCGCGGAACAAACAACGAGGCACCCCAGCACCTTTTGTTTCTTCTTCGCTGCCGCTGCGGCATCTTCCGCTGCGGCGTCGGGCAGGTCGAGCAGGGCGCCCATGGCGTCCATGGCGTCCACGGCGTCTTCTCCCCTGTCGTCTTCGCCAGCCGCCGCTGCGGCGTCCTCGGCTCGCGCTCGGGCCTTGAACGCGTCCGCGACCTCCCTCCACGCGCGCCCGCGCAACTTCCCCGAACCCCCGTGGCCGCGCCTGAGCGCGTAGCCGAGCGCGCGGATTACCCGCGGCAGGCCCAGAGAGAAGTGGACGAACTTCAGGCGCCCTGCGATGGTAGAGATCTCCTTGGTCTCCAAGAGCGGGCGCGACTCTGTCAACCTACCGCCCCAGACACAGAATCGGTCGCCCAGCTGCGCGGGTTCCCACTGGTGGGCAACACGTCGGGCCTTCGCCTTCACCATGAACGCCACTGCGTCGCCCGCCGCGCAAGCGGAGCCGAAGGGAACGAGCGTCTGCGCTGGGGCCTATACGCTGCGGTTGCACCGCGCAGCATTGCTCTCCAGCCCCTCATCCTGCCACGCGGCGCTGCCCGCCACCCCTCCCTCCGACCATGCCCCCGCGCTGCTCGTCCGACATCCCCCTCTTCCTCCTCCAACCCGTCCTCCTCTTCCTCCTCCGTCTCCTCCTCCCGCCTCTGTATTCTCTCCTCTTTCCTCTCTCCTCCCTCCCCCCTCCCCCCACCCTCCTCCTCTCTTCCCCTTCTCCCCCGCGTCCTCCCCCCAGCGCCCTCGAAGCCTCTGGCGGCCCCCCTCGGCGCCAGCCCCCCTCGGGCGGCCCCCCCGGCCCCGGATCCTGCAACTCCTCTTAGGGGAGGGAGGGGGGAGGAAAGAGAGGGCGTTCCCCCCGCTTCAGCACGCCTGCGATCCTCATTGTTCTCGCCGCCGTGCCTGCGCCCCCGCCCGCGTCGGTGCATGGGCGCCGCTGCATGGGCGCCACTGCGTCCATCGGAGCATGGGCGCCACTGCGCCCTCCGCATCAGATGTCCTGGCGGCCGTTTCCGTCGAAAACGGTTTTGTGCTGCTGCGGCTGGCTCTTCGGCTTCGCTCTGGCCTTCCTCGCGGCTTTCCTCCAGTCGGTCGGGGCCGCTTCCTTCTTCCTCTTCACATGTGTGTCTTCCATGAACAGTTCCCCGTCCGCCTGGAGATCCACCGTGTTGGTCGCCACGGGGACTCGGACGCAGATGACCCGACCGCAGATGACTATGTTCACTTCCTTCGGCGCGAGCTCCGCGTTGAAACGCGCTCGCCCCACCTCTGCTTCAGTGACGTTTCGCGTTCCAAGCTCTTCGGCCATGAGCTTCGTCGCGCTCCAGAAGGGGTGCGTGGACTCCTTGCCCGCCCACTTCCACTCTCGTTGAGCGGGGTCCGTCTCCGCCACATCGTAGGGCGCCTTGCTTTCGGGCGCGGCAAACTCTGGATGTATGTAGAACGAAGTCTTCACAGGCTCTTCTGGGTTCTTGGCCCACACTTCCACGTGAACCTTGTCTGCGTGGTTGCCCGCATCCCACGCTTTGTTCTGCTTCGGCGCGCATGGCCACAACGCGAGTTTGCCGGCCGCCACTGCGGCTTTGGTGCACACTTTCGCTATGTTGCTCATTGCGTGGCGGGTCAGGGCCACAGGTAGGTTCGATTCTGTGCCCTGTTCAACGCACGAACAGAGCGCCAAATGCTTCTCCCGTAGCACCTGCAGCACCGCCCTCATGTAGGCCTCCTTCTTGCCCATGCCCCTGGCGGCTGCCTGGCCCAACCACTCCGTGACTGGCAGTGGCAACCGCATTGCTGGCCTCTCCCCCTTCACAACGGTGGCCTGTTCGTTCTCGGGGCGCCCAGTGATCGCGTTGAACGCGATCGCCACGGGCTGCGCGGCGGGCCCGCCCCCCCTTTCCTGAGCCGGCGTGTTTTTTTTTTTTTTTTTTTTTTTTTTTTTTTTTTTTTTTTTTTTTTTTTTTTTTTTTTTTTCCACCTTGCAAAGTCGAACCAATTCCAGTCCTCCTGCGCCTGGAAGGTTGCCATGAGCTCGGCAGTTTTTCTGTCGGAAGGGCGTTCGCGCGCGCCGCCCTGCACCCCTGCAAGAGCGCCCCGCGGGCTTTCGCCGTCGAGGGGTTGGCCCCCTTGACCGCGACAGCCATAGCGCTGGCGCACTGGATGTTGACGTTGGTCAGAAACTGGACCACCGCTGAGGCGTTGTTGCCCAGGTGTCTCGCGATTCCGGTTCTCAGGGCCACGCGGCGCGCGTGGAGAACATCCTGCATGAGCCGCAAGTGCGGCTCCAGGGTTCGATGCTTCCACGCAGGTTCGGGTTCGATGCGCCAGCCTGGCGCCCCCGTCTGTTTGGAAGCCTTCCTGGGCGGCAACCTGTAGGCCCGCGCGATGACGGCCACCCTCACGCGGGGGAACTGCGCGCCCACCTCCCCCACGAGGCCGAACGCAGGCAGGCGCAACATTCTCGTAGCAGAATTGACGTACGTCTCGACGAAGTCGATGAGTTCCCGCATGCGAGGGCCTCCATCGGCGCCCAGGTTTAGGATGAAGTGGAAGAAGTCGCAGAAGGAGGGGTCGGAGGGGGGGCTCCCCAGTCGGGCACCTGCCGCCTGCATCGCGCCCTCGTAGGTGACTGCGTCGCTGCCGTCCGCCTTTGCGTTCTTGATCTCTGAGGAGAGTGCCTTCATCGCCTCCGCCTCCGACATCCGCATGGGGAACGCGCGTGGCCGATTAATGGCCTGGGCTATGATGGAGCAGTTCTGTTCGCCAAGCATGACATCAGGGCCCAGCACCTCGTGGAGCATCCTCTCCTTCACGAGTTTCTGCGCCACAGGGTCATTGTCCGCCACTGCGGACATCATCCGCAAGCCTGTGCCGACCTCGCACATGGGCTGCAGCATTGCCGCCTGCGCAGGGGTCAGGTCGTCTGCAGGGATCTCCCACTTTGCCCCCGCGTCGATGGCCCGCAGAATGATTGCCAAATGCGAGTGCGAAAGCGTGCCGTGGAGAACTTCGGCGCCACTGCTGCATAATATATCTTTAAGGCACCCTTTGGCCTTGTCCTTGCAGTTCTGCGTGGACGAGGTGTACCCCGCCATGCCTTTTTGCTTCTCCACGGGAAGGTCCCTGACGCACGCTCCCTCGAAATCGGCTTCCGCCTGGTGGAACTCGACGCAGATGATCTCGCGCGCCAGCGAACGCACTCTGGAACACTTTGGGAACACACCAACCCTGTTAGCGGGGTGTGGCCCCAGCAATCGCACTGGAACCCTTGGCTTCGCGCCAGTGTTGCAACGGGCCCTGAGCTCGTTGCTCAGATGCATCTCTTTCACGTCGGCCGCCACTGCGGCCGCGACCTCAGTTGCCCCGCCGCCCTTTGTTCCATCGCTCATGGCTGGCGCACCAGCCCCGCACCATGCGCGGCTGGCGCGCTCGGGCCCTCCGGGCGCGCAGTAAAACGCTGCGCTTGCGAGCCCAGGCGGCCGCGGCGCAGGCAAGGGGGGGGGGATGAGGAGGGGGGGGGGGGGGGGGGGGGGGGGAGGGAAGGGGGAGGAGGATAAGGATGAGGATGAGGAAGAGGAAGAGGAGGAGGAGGAGGAGGAGGAAGAGGAGGAGGATGAGGAGGAGGAGGAGGAGGAGGAGGGGGGGCAGGAGGACGAGGAAAGGAGGAGGAGGAACACCGAGACCCGTATTGATAATACGTAGAACCGTAGATTCAAAGCGTTAAGAATTGAGTAACACTTCGAACATTCACAGTGGTAATTAATAGTAGTGTCGAATCTCATAATATATATATATATATAGTGAATACCTTACATAAGAAACATAGTCCTGACTTGGCATGAGAAACCTGTGAACCAACATTCCACTAGCAACAAGCGTAGTTCGAAAAACACGTGCGACGAATACTACTAATTCGGATGCTCATACTAATGCTATAATGAGAATAAGAATGCTAGTACGAACGCTCATACTAGTACTCTAAACATAATACGAACATACGCAAACGAATGGTACTGACACCACTAATACGAATAATCATAATAAAAATAATAGTGGCACTGGCAATGGGGTTGCTATTACTAATACCAACAATACTGATCATACTAATACTAAGAAGAGAAGGAGGAGGAATCTGTACATATAACCACATACGCAGACACATGCTTGGCTCTCTGCAGCTATTCGTGGTTCGGAAAGGAAAACGGCCCGCTACCGCCCCCGCGCGCGCGTGCTCATACTGCATAATTTCCTCACCCATCGGGCGGCAGGGCGGCGTCGGCTGCATGGCCGCCGCGGGGCCGTCAGCGGCCCCGCGGCAAAATGTTGGGGCCTCCAGAGCAGCCTTGGGGTGGTGATGGTGATGGTGGCGGTAGCGGTGGTGGCGATGACGGTGGTGATGGTGATGGCGGTGTTGATGCAGGCGGTGGTGATGGTGATCGCGATGGTGATGTTTGGGGTAATTATGATGATGGTGGTGATGCTTGATTATGATGATAATTCGTGTCAATGATGTTTGAGTAATTATGATGATGGTGGTGATGCTTGATTATGATGGTAAGTCGTGTCAATGATACACCTATGATGGTTATAGTGTTGATTGTTGTTGCTGGTGGTGGTGCTGAGGAGAATGATAACTAATGATGCTGGTGATGATGGTGGCGACGGAGGTGATGGTGATGGTAATGTTGGTGGTGCTGGATGTGGTGATGATGATAGATTGGTGAAGGTGGTCATGAGTTGGTGGGGATTTGGGTGAGGACGACGGTGACGGATGGCGATGGCGATGGCGATGGCGATGGCAACCCCTTCTTGCTCCGACGATCGCTCGCGCCGTCGGTCTCCTACAGCCGCGTCGGTGCCAGTGCGGCCGCCACTGCGGCCTGTTGCTCCCTGGTCGGCGTCCTCGAAATATCCCTGGCGGTGGTTCTATCGCATAGGCGTCCTGGTTATAGGCGCGCAGGCATCTCCTGGAATACTCCTCCTCTAGCTCCTCCGACGGCCAGTCGCTGACGGCGAAGTCCACGTCGTCGTGGCGTGGTCTTGGAATGCCCTGCGAGTCGACGTCCACGTCCTCGCCGTCCTGGAGCGCCTGGTGGTACCTCGACCATCAGCTCAGCTGTCTTTCGTAGTAGCGGGAGGCTGGATTCTGAGGATCGTTCGGCATGGCGGCTAAGATGCTCCTTGCGGCCTCAAACGCATCAAACTCATACGTCTCCCAGTCCGCAACCCCTGCGGCAGTCATGGCGCCTTCCCTTACGGCCAGGCGCGCCGCTGCGGCCATGCGACCCTGCGCCGCTGGCGTCCTCACGCAGGCCACGTGCGTGAACTCGATGTCCACCGCATTGTGCCACGCAACCTGAGCTTCTTGCAGTCGTTGCTCGGCATCGAGCGCGCGCTGCCTTGCGTGCATCAGTGCACCTGTCGCGCGGAGCATCTCCGTGCGACCGATAGGCGATCGCATCTCGCGCAAGGCGCGCGCGCACGACTCAGGGGGCAAGCCGTCGTGCGACAGTAAGGCGTTCGCCCATCTCGGTTGGCATGGAAAGCCTCGCGGTCGCGCGTGCTCCCCCGCCGCTGCGTCCAGCGCCCATCATCGACGAACCCGTGCCCCAGCGATGCGGCTTCCCGCTCCGATTCCGCGGCCTCGGTTACGCCTGCCACGTAGGACTCCTCCCAGTCTCGTGCGTCGTCGAACTCTGGAGCCACCGCTGCGGCTTCGTCCTCGGCGACGGGATTAAGCGGAACTTGGCGCCCGCCACTACGGACATTCCAGACAAACCATCTCGTTGAAGCTGTGGCGGCGACCAACCACCTCGCGAGCTGCTCGCCCAACCCGGCCCCGTCCACAAGGAAAATGTTGTAGAAATCTCCTGTGCGGCCGGCGACGCGCGTGGCCGCCAGGAAACGAGCCAGGCGCTCGCGGTCGATGCAATCTGTGCCGTAGATCGAGGCCTCGCGGCAGCATGTATCTCAAATGGGGCCCATTCCGCATTCCAGCGTCGCGTCAGGAATGTGGAATGGGACAGCGTGCTCGCGGTCGCAGTAGATGCACATGCTGTCGTCGGGCACGCTGCCCATGTGTTTTTGCCAGCAGGCAGCTTCGGCTGCGGTCTGCCACTGCGGGCCTCCCTAGGAGGCGGCCGCCTGGCCGCTGAGCGCGGGCGCGCGGTGGCGCGGTGGTGCCGCTGAACTGGCAGCGGCTGCGCGCACATAATTTCACACATGAAACGACGTATTCATTATATTGGTAGGTATGTGTGTACACGATGGCAATAATTATGACAGGTCTGCTCATTTGTATGTGACATCGTATATATATATGTATATACATATATGTCTGTGACTACACATAATTCTGTGATGGTCGTTAAAACATGTACATACTTCTCATCGTCCACGCTGCAAATACCGAGGCATGATCGCATACCACCATTAATTAGTCTACCAGATACCTTTCGGGCAGTGATGACGGTGACAACGACGACGGCAGGATATCTTTTTTCCCCAGCCGAGTCGCGCCACTCTAAGCGCTCTGGCGCGAGCCCGCCCCCTGGCGCCAGCGGCCACTGCGGCTCTTCTTCTTCTGATACGCCCTCCCCCAGCTGCGCCAATGCTCGCTCGCAGCCTGCCTCGACCCACGCCCCTGGCGGCCGTGACCTATGAAGACCATGTTCTGGTGAATGCCGTGGAGCCAGCGCGAGACGAAGGTGTCGTCCCTGAGCCGCTTGGAGGCCACCTTCCCCAGTTTCGGAAGCGGGCGCAAGCCGTCGCGCGTGTTCTGGAAGAAGTTCTGCCTTGCCTCCGTCGACCTTGCGACGCGGTGTGCCTCGATCGGATCCTCTGGATGCGCACCCTCTTCGAGCTGTTCGAGCGCCTCGGTGTAAACAGTGCGCCACTGCGCACTCACCATCGGCACGTCGCCCCACTGCGGCAGGGAGCTGCAACTGAAACGCTCGAGCCAACTGCTTCCGGCTCGATCGGGGGCCCCGAGGCGACAGGCTGGGGCCACTCTGGCACCACCACCGCCACCTGCCCTTCTTCCTCTCCGTAGACGGGGTGCTGCGGGTCGTGCGTGCCGAGCACGAATGCAAAATCGTTGTGGATGGTATAGTCAAACACGCCAGGCCCCCAATTTGTGCGGAAGACGGCGTGGAAGGGCTTGTCCCCCGCGGTGAGGCCGCAACTGCAGCCTATGCGATGCAAGGCGCGGTGGTCGCAGTCGAAGAACCCCGTGAAAATGCGCACACTGCAGCGCAGCAGGTCCTCGATAATGTCGGCGCAGAACGCGTCGGACCACGTGGAATGAAGGCCGTGGCGGCGGCCGTCGCTACGGCCACGGGCGAACCTCCAGCGGGCGGGCACGGCCATTCTGAACTGCGCGCCGAGGTTTTGGCTGGATTCGCACAGCGCGACGTCGATGATTGTCATGGCGTGCGTGTCGTCTGTGGCGCGCGCGTCGTCCTGCTGCGTAACCTCCAACTTCTCGATGACGCGGGGTTGGTAGAGCACGACGCCTGTCCCCTCTTTGAGGTCTACCAGCTCCCAGTAGTTGTCGCCTGCTCGTCTTGTTTTGGTCGATGCCACCTCCGCCGCTGCAAGCTCCAGTTGTACTTTCAGTGCTGCGTGCCCGCGCAACACTCCCACCGCTTCCGCGTCGCTCTTCTGCGGGCGGTCCAGGAGCAGCGGGTCCCAGATCAGCGCGAGGATGTTGGCTGGACTCTCGAGCAGTTTTTCGACATCTTCCACTGCGGCCCTGGCCGTCACTACGGCCGCGAGCAGGGTAAACACTGGGCCCGCAGGGACTCGCCGATGCGGACTCCGATCCGGTGCTCGCCAGTCAGGGCGCGCGCGCAGCAGCGGAGCGCCGCGCTCCACGAAGTCGCCGAAATTGCCCCTGCCGTCGTCCACTTGGATCCAAGCTCTACCTCTCTGGTCCGTCAAACGCGTGCCCGCCCCCGCCGTCCACGGGGGGCGCGCCCGCGTCGACGCGAGGGCGCTGTTTGCCACCCGTTTCGGCGCGGGTGGTGCGCTGCTGGGCTTCGGCGTCGCGTGCAGTAGGGGTTCGCAGTTCGGGGGTTCGTCAGGCTGCCGCGGCCCTCTTTTTGCCAGCGGTTCCAAGCGTGCCATCTTCTTTGGCGGCTCGTCCTGGAGATGCCGCGGCGGGTGGCCAGGCTGCCGCGGCAGCAAGTGCACCGTCGGAACCTGCGTTCGCTGGGAAGGCGCGCGGTTCGCCCTCGGCACAAGCTGCGCCCTTGGCCCTGGAGGCCGCCACTGCGGCCTCGGGGGGCGGCGCAGGGCTGGCGGAAGGAACTGCGCGGGAGGAGGCGCGCGGGGCCGAAGGGGGTCTTGCTTTTGAACGAGGAGTCGATGCGTCGTCTGAGTCGCTCAA